ACACAAAATTGACAAAAACCTTATTAAATTATTCAGCTGTCCTGCAGAATCAAACGCTCTTATTCGACGCTATACCTAGCCATTAAATATTCTCTTTTATCCATGAGACCAAGCTGGCTTCACCCTCCTGGAGCTTTCAAAACAAGAGATATAGCCTCCTGCGGTCCCATCATCTGTCATCGCTAATAAAGCATGTCTGCTCACCAGGACAAAGTACTGTAGATCAAAACAACAACACAGTAAGAAATAACATATATATTTCATAACTTCATAACATAACTTTCATAAGTTCTTCTATGTAGGCCACCTCCCCAAACTTTCTCACCTCGTTCTCAGGTTCTGATAAGTGAATGTGCAGCGCGGCTCTCTCAGAGGCCTGCTTCTCAAGGACAGAGCACATTAGGCTGATTAAATAAAGACAGAGAGTGATTTATAACAGCTCTGTCCCGCTCTATTCATCAGCGGGCTCTTGACTTAATAAAGTATTGATATTTAGATACACAGGGAGCGGGCAGCATTTCAGTGGTGATGGGAGGGCGCAGGGGACCGGCCCCTTAGAGGAGCAGCGCTGCAGGGCAGTAAATACATCTCTCTTACTGTAACTCATCTCCACACAGGACAGAGACTGAGACTGAGGGAGTGAATGCTGGGCAGCTCTGATCTCTCTGAGCTCAGACATGATGTGAGGGACATGGCATGCATTGTCCCTTTCTTCTAGTGTTGTTTCTTAGTACAAATGAGCATGCTACAATTTATTGTTTATTTTATTTTATGTATTGTATTGTATTGTATTTGTACTTTTTTTCCTGACCATACAGAAAAACATGTTACATTAGTGCAATACAACAAAGAATATAAGGCCCCGTCCACACTGAGACGCGTTTAGCTGTATACGCATAAATTTTGTATCGTATAGGCGTTTCGTCCAGACGGATCCGGCGTTTTGGGAGAGTGAAACCGGGTCCCAGAGTGGATAAATCCGAAAATGCCACCCTTGCGTTTTCGTGTGGACAGCGAATCCGTATATTTTCTGAAACGATGACATCATCAGCCCACGTCTCGCAGCAGAATGTTGCACATTATTTTTATATATATATATATATATATATATATATATATATATTTACTGCTGTCATATTTAAATTAAATTAAGTGTAACAATTGTTTTGGCAGAATTTTTACTATTCAGAGCAATAGTGAGTCTAGGCCATAGTCTAGGCAAAATAACTTGAGAATTGACTAGTTCTTATTTTTTAATGGAATGTTGCAGTTATTATTAAAAATGATTAATCCGTGCAATTCATAATGGACTAAATCAAGTCACTTTTTTCACAAGCCATTTCACAAAGATATACATCACAAAAGGACAAAAACACAACTGCAATTTTTGTTTCATTCCAGCTTTAAAAGGTGAAGTTGGTTAATTGTAGTCAAGTTAGCTTTTTGAAAAATCATTTAGCTAAACAGATGACATGAAATACTATGCAGGGAGTTTTGGAAATGCTATGGAGTGATGAGTGGAAATAGCTGGGAAAGCGACGTTATTTTGAAAAAGCGGAGCTACTGTCACGCTTCTAGGCAATGCACAGTAGTTCATCTTCACTACTTGTAATTAGTTGTCTGAAACATTAAACTGTGCATTGTTTCTAAATTCAAATGCTAGTTATGCAAGCTCGATTTCACGCATTTATGCTTCAAAAAGTGTCTGAATGCAATTCATAATGCAGCACAAGTATGCATTCTTAGTGCTTATATCAGGCATTAATGTAAGTCGTCTTCTGCGATTAGTTTTCTCTTTCAGTTGTCTTTTGCCATGGGCAGATCAGTAGTTTGGAGAAAATCTTGCTGAGCACTGTTATTTAAATGATCAACATGTTCGTAGCTAGCTAGCTAATAACACATCTGTTTTAATGGCACAGACATTTGAAGGAAACTCTATCACTCCCTTGAGTACTGAGGTTTATTACCGCCACAGTAGAGCAAGAACACACATTAAGTATGCACAAGTACAACAGACCATTTATCTTGCTATACTTGTGTAGAGTATATTTCTGGCCTTAGTCCCCAGTGCCGAAAATGAGATAAACTTTTGTGGTACTTTAAATGAGAGATTTTGCTAGATTTGAACAGTGTTTTAGCATACTTAGAAAATGTATATATATATATATATATATGTATATATATATATATATATTACAGAAATAGCATACTTTAAAAGAATATAATTGTGAACAATGTAATTGCTTAATTGCATATTAATTGCAATTAAATGAAAATGGGTGATAGTTAACATTTATAATAATGCAATTAAATTTAGAGTGTTTTTTGACCCACGTAAATAGGACTTAAAGGGATAGTTCACCCAAAAATGAAAATTTGATGTTTATCTGCTTACCC